TGAGAATGAGCCAGAGTGTGCCCAGGGGGCCAAGGAGGGCAACGGCATCCTGGCTTGTGTCAGCCATAGCGTGGCCAGCAGGGACAGGGAAGGGATCTGAGCCCTGGGCTCGGCACTGGGGAGGCCGCCCCTCGGGGAGGGGGTTCAGTTTTGGGCCCCTCACCCCAAAAAGGCCATTGAGTGACTCGAGCGTGGCCAGAGAAGGGCAACGGAGCTGGGGCAGGGTCTGGAGCACAGGTCTGCTGGGGAGCGGCTGGGGGAACTGGGGGGGTTCAGTCTGGAGAAGAGGAGGCTGAGGGGAGACCTCCTGGCCCTCTGCAACTCCCTGCCAGGAGGGGGCAGAGAGGGGGGATGAGTCTCTGGAGCCAAGGCCCCAGCGCCAGGCCCCGAGGGAATGGCCTCAAGCTGCCCAGGGCAGGGTCAGGCTGGCTCTGAGGAAGGATTTCTGTGCAGAAGGGGCTGTTGGGCGTTGGGATGGGCTGCCCAGGGCAGGGGGGGAGTCCCCGGGATCCCTGGGGGGGTTGAAGAGTCGGGTTGATTTAGAGCTTAAGGATATGATGTAGTTGGGAACAGTCAGTGCTAGGTGAATGGTTGGACTGGATGATCTTCAAGGTCCTTTCCAATCGAGATGATTCTGTGATTCTGTGAATCTGAAGTGGACTTGTTCAGACATTATCTAGAGAAAAAAAGCATTTGATTTCTCACCGTCCGTCGGTGGACACAGCCCACAAAGGATGTTCATCAGCGTCGTCTTCCCCGTCCCACTGTGCCCAAGCAGAGCCGTGATCTGACCTTCATAGATGTCAAAGGATAAATCTGGTCCCCGAGGCAGGCGTGGGAGAAAGAGGAGAGGTTAGTGACGTGCTCGTGGCATGTGGAGCCGGCTCCTACCGCAGAGGTAAATTCAAATACTGACATATGGGGTATGCATTTAACTCTCTGCTCAGAGGGACGCCTTACCTCCACACCCCAGCACACCCTGGCACGGGACGGTCCCTGCTCTGGCTGTGGGGTGCCCACGTTTAAAAGCCACATAGGGAAACGAGAAGAAAAGATCAGGGAGATGGGGCAGGGAGGATCGTATCACTAATGGCAAGGGCAGAGGAGTAGTAACAGGGATGATGTCAGCAGGATTGCTTTAGTGACAGAAGGGCTCCTCTTTTTGGGATACCATTCTAAACAAGATTGCTGCCAAAGCAGTGAGAGAAGACAACAATCACAGCTGGCATTCATGCTCCAAGGTCCCACCCCACTAAAAGAATCCAAAAAGCCCAAACAAAACACAAAAGACCACTCAACAATTCAGCTATTGCTCCTCTGTATCTGATAAGCAGCTAAAAATGTTCTTACTTCTGAGAGCCTCCACAGTTTCCCCCTTTTTCCTGAATGTTTTCTGAACACAGCTGATTCTGAAAGAAGACATGTCATTTTATAAGCTGTTTTAGGATCTTTATATTTCATTTTGAATGATCAACACTCAGCAACACTCACAACAAGATGACCACACTAAAGTGGCACTAGACACGTTCAAAACGCATAGAGGCAAGTCAAGAGTCAGGGCACTGTTACAGAACTTAGTCCATCTCCTCCACTCTGGTATCAGAAAGCTTTTTCTGGTCACCTTCTAGGTATTTTCTATGATGACAAACTGAATTATTTCAAATCTGTTTCTTTCACATGGTAGAACAATGCATTAGAGGTTTCCCAAGCTAGAAGAGGGAATGGCTACCCCCCAGGAATTTCACAATACAACAGAAGACTCAACAGATGCGATATGGAAAAGAGGCGTTAGTAGAACAGACTCCAAAGATGTGATTACTGGCAGCTCTTCATCAAAATTAGGCAAAAGCAAGCAGGTACTTTTCTCTTCAAGAAAGGTAAAAACCTTCCCTTTCAGACCCGCTGTTTTGCAAAATGAAAAAGAAAACGAACCAGTTTATCTGAAGGCACCATGTGAAGGATGGGTTTGGAAGCCTGGTCACCCTGAAAATCAGGAGGGGGAGTGGGTTACAGGTGTGAATAGCAGGGAGGAGAACTGGGTACGAAAGGAAACAAAACCCGTACACGTAAAGATGACAAGACAGTGCGAAAACGATGGAGAGCCGGTGGAGGGATGCTATGGAAAGAGTCCAGTGTGGATGAGTAATGCAAAAATAGCCACGATGTTCTCACGTGAACATCAGGATTAAAACTGGACCCTTCAACCTATGGCAGATGCCCAAAGAGACACGGATAGCACGGACAACACAAGACTCATTCCAGCCGCTAAGCTCAAATATTTATTTGAGACTAGTGGAGTCAGCCAGGAGGAGGGAAGACTCAAGAGTTCCCCAACTCACGTCAGGCTATGGCACTGGAAAATGGTGGTAACAAGGGCTAAAAGGAAGATAAGGAAAATAATACGAGACAAACTAAAAATAAGTGACAGTCCAGACACCAAACAACAGGTGACACAAAATGCAGTAAGAAAGATGAGAGCGTGGACATCTATTTTTCAGTTTTCTTTTACCATCTTAGATACAGCAGCTGGGTAAAACCACCACCAAAGTTCTCCTCAGGTCTACGAAGAACACAACAGCCTTCACACAAACCTAGAATTCAGCTTTTTCTCCTCAAATGCGTGTTACCAGAAACTAAACCCTCCCAGAAGAGTGGGCGTTTCAACATCTGCAACCGCTTACGCCTCTCGTGGCCTCAGTGAAACTGAGGGAATGGAAAACTGGCCGGTTTTGAGAGGACTCCAACTGAAGGAATACAATCCACAAACAAACCCTTTCTTTAAGCCCGGTGATTTATCCTTGGAGAGCATCCACATCGTTGATGATGGGGCTTCATTGAAAATGGAAACTAGCCGTGCTGCGTGTGTGTGGAGGACTCTGCAATGCATACCATATGCTATTTGAATCCAACGACTGGAGAAACGAGGGATTTTTCAAATGACACCCTAAAAATGTCAGGGACCCAGGTTATCTGCTGATCTGTACGTGGGGCAGGGCAGGAATCGTACCTGATGGCTTCTTTCCCCTGAAATTCGGAAGGCACAGGCTCGACTATCTCACTGAAACTTAAACTGCCATTGATGCTGCTCTCGTACAACTCCTTATAATTTTTTCTGCGCTTTGACCAAAACGAGGGCTTCATAAAGAAAAATGGCGTGCGGCGTAGTCCAAACTCCCCTGGACAGTAAAGGGAAAAAAAAAAAAAAAAAAAAGACAACTTCGTAACAGTAACTGCAGATATTCCTCAGCTTTTGGGTTTTAGCTGTAAAAGCCACGAGCTCTCCTGCTAAAGGTTCAGGAGCCAGCCTGCACTCCCATTCTGGAGGGATTTCATCAACCAAGTTTACGTTATCTGCATTTAAGCCACAGTTCCCATCAACACTGCTAGCAAGCTCCGGTTTTGCTAAGTATTTAAATGTATGTGCAAATCTCTTTCTATGCAAGAGAAATCCCCAGTGCTGAAAGAACGGTGACTTAAACTCAGGCAAAATAAAGCCAAGAGAGATCAGAGGCAAGGGGAGCTGGAGGGCTTAACCAGGCATTAGTCGCAAGATTAACAACTTGACTCTGTGTTTCGTGTTAACCTACAGCCGTCAAAGGGAAAGGTCTGGGACAGGGGGAGTAGTTTCTCATTTTCAACCCTGTAAGAGCAAACTGCAAAGGTTGAGGCATGAGTTGACCCAGTCAGAAAGCTTTTCCTTTAGAAAGAGGGCAAAGTTTAGCTGGCGTACCTACGGGCCATCAATTCTAAACGTGCTAATATCCCCCCTCACATCTCAGTTTTAACAATATAAATTATTTCATAACATATATTTGTAAAAAGCACCATCTCCTTTCTCCACAGTCGAAATTAAGTCAGAAATGCCACCCAGCTCCACCAGCCATGTCAACACGGGGGCCTCAGGACTTCAGGAATTGGTGATGTTAGCACAGTTCAATTTTTCTCATGAACATACCTGGGATAACCTGATCAAGGTAGACAGCTACAAGCAGATAAAATATACTATCCAGCACCAATAAAATAAGAGAGATAAAGAGTGGATAAGGACCACTGTTTAGATTTGAAAATGTTGCACCATCTTCATAATCTTCTAGATGCATGACCTGCCAACAAACACAGACAGAGGGAGATGTTACACACCCGCCCCGTACCGGCCTGGAAAAACCCGAGAAAATATTTAGTATCTGCACCAAGATGGTGAGCGATAAATAAGTGTGATCCGAGGAGCAGAAGGTTATTTACCTGCGCGACACCAATCAAGAAGCTGCACTGACACAAGGGGCTGAGGATCCACACGAAAGACTTGGGGAAATCTTCCAACAGGACAATATTAAGGCCCACAAACCCAAACGCCAGCGTGGCCAAGAACTCCACTATCCCCACGTGCTTTGACTTTTTAAATAGAGGGGTCAGCATAAGTGCAAAGAAAACCTAAGGACAGATAATAAAAAGATAAGGTACTATATTAAAAAAAAAATTGATCATACAGGGTATAGAAAACCTAAAAATAAAAAGGCCACAGCCTCACTCTTGCCTCTGAAAATCCTATAATTTTCCTGGTGTAACCACTACAGCATTCACTCACATCCCACATTTCCCTTACAAACAGATCACTGGGAGGGACAGATTTCCCAAAGATGCCAAGTGACAGAGCACAGAAAAAAAAATTTACAGAATAAAAATAAGGAGTCATATGGCTGAGCGTGCATATTCACCCTGGTTAGTGCACCTCCTGTAAATGACAGACAGTAAACAAATAACGATTTCTGAACTGGTTGCTTATAAACTCAAACAAGCAATTTGCTGTATAAATTAATTTTCTGAGCTTTAATTAGGGTTTTAACATCATGCTATGCAGTAACAGCAAATGTTTAGAAGAGGGCACGGGTTTGGGTTCAAAACGGCGCTGGGCAGTGTTTTCAGCTCAAAGACAGGCGGTTAGAAACTCAGATATTTCAGTCAGGAAATATTTTCTCATAGTGACGGTCAAGATCAAGTAAAACACCCCAAACTAGAGCGAACCCAGGGCAGGGATGGGGACAGGTAAGATCCCCTCCACCATTTGGTCCTACAGAAGCTGCATTTGTCCCACGTGCTTTAGTAGTGAGAGCAAGATCAGATGGGAAGGGGAGAGGAAAAAAGGAAGAGAGGAAAAAAGGAAGAGAGGAAAAAAGGAAGAGAGGAAAAAAGGAAGAGAGGAAAAAAGGAAGAGAGGAAAAAAGGAAGAGAGGAAAAAAGGAAGAGAGGAAAAAAGGAAGAGAGGAAAAAAGGAAGAGAGGAAAAAAGGAAGAGAGGAAAAAAGGAAGAGAGGAAAAAAGGAAGAGAGGAAAAAAGGAAGAGAGGAAAAAAGGAAGAGAGGAAAAAAGGAAGAGAGGAAAAAAGGAAGAGAGGAAAAAAGGAAGAGAGGAAAAAAGGAAGAGAGGAAAAAAGGAAGAGAGGAAAAAAGGAAGAGAGGAAAAAAGGAAGAGAGGAAAAAAGGAAGAGAGGAAAAAAGGAAGAGAGGAAAAAAGGAAGAGAGGAAAAAAGGAAGAGAGGAAAAAAGGAAGAGAGGAAAAAAGGAAGAGAGGAAAAAAGGAAGAGAGGAAAAAAGGAAGAGAGGAAAAAAGGAAGAGAGGAAAAAAGGAAGAGAGGAAAAAAGGAAGAGAGGAAAAAAGGAAGAGAGGAAAAAAGGAAGAGAGGAAAAAAGGAAGAGAGGAAAAAAGGAAGAGAGGAAAAAAGGAAGAGAGGAAAAAAGGAAGAGAGGAAAAAAGGAAGAGAGGAAAAAAGGAAGAGAGGAAAAAAGGAAGAGAGGAAAAAAGGAAGAGAGGAAAAAAGGAAAAGGAGAGGAAAAAAGGAAAAGGAGAGGTGGGATGGCCAAATTCAATGAGACCAGGAACCAGGAATACTTACTGAAGAGATTCCATACAGGAAAAAAAGGAGAAATATCACAAAGGCACTGCTCTGGGGAAAGAGGGAAGAGGCCGTCGCAATCACTGCCATAAGAATGGACATGACAAAAATCAGGCTCATGTAGAGCAGCACCCAGGAAAGCCTAGGAGCAAGAGAGGGGAAAAAAAAAAAAAAAGCACAGAAACCAGTCAATGATTTCCCAGCCTGAATTATTCACACACAAAAAGAGCTAAAACTACCATTCTTTAATATTCCAGACAGCTGCACCAAAGGACAATCCTGCAACAAAACAAGAGCCCCCAAATAAAAAGAGCTCTTGTAAACATCCTGTAAGTGTTCTAGGCATTAGAGCACACACATCAATACCCACAGCATCAAAAAGATACACAATTAGATGATTCATGATTTTTTTTTTTTGTTTTAAACTTGCATAATTAATCCCCTTGTATAACCAAAAGAGGGTAACTGAGTAGTAGGCTTCAATAATTAAAGAAATTCTATTTAAAATTTAATACACTAGTCATTCCAGTAGCTGGGCATGGTAATAAAATCCTTTAAAAAAAAAAAAAAAAACAAACAAAACAGAGCTGCAAGTCTGTGAGCAATTCTGACTTCAGGAAACAAGAGCGGTTTGTGTACAGATAGGAAAAAACCCAACACATCTCCCTCAAAAGCAAGTTTCTGAGTTATATTCAGTGGCCAATCGAAGCTGCCTTGGCTAATAGAATTATTTTCTCCAGACCAGAGATGCTCAACGCTGACACGGGTGAAAGACTCAACTAAATAAAATTTGTCACCAGGGACGTACCGCAAACAAACTGTGAGAAGAGAGCTCGGCTGCGGAAATAAAACAAAAGCAAACAGGAAAAACGGAACCCAGACAGCCCCAGCTGGCTGTTACAGCGGAGCAGTGAAAGATGCTAAAGCTGTCAGCTGGTGCAGCGAAGGGCAAAGCTAAACCCGTTTTTATCTCTGCAACTACCAACGATTTCAAGTGAGTATATCCTCTCACTGGGAAAAAAAAAAAAACCAACACATTATACTGCGTAAGACAATTTCTATCACGGTAAGGTAACAAATTAAAACCTGTTGCTTGGACTGCTCTGTCATGTTAAAATTACAGAGTTAGATTCATTTAATTACGTGTCGGGGAAACCGCTGCTACACTCTGAAAAGAGTCTGCTACCTGTTGTGTCACCAGGAAAGGAGGTACCGAGCCAAAAATATTTATGTATAAACAATAAAAAACAAATGACATAAAAGTCTCACACATCATCACATTCAATCCCTCTAAGTCTGGCTAAACTTTACATGCGTAAGTGCAACACTATTAGTCCGGTCTTTAAAAATAAATATTAGAATAAATCAGAATAATAAAAATATTCTGGTTTTCATGATACTGCCAAGTATCTCTAGGTTAGATTTTACAAAGCATCTCTCTTCGGGGCTGTTTTCAGTTAATCAGACTGAAAAGAATGTAAAAACTGGAGGATGGGATAGAGGAGTTCTCCTAGAAAGTGTTATTTATTCTATATTTCTTTATAGACTTTATATTTCTTTCATAGAGAACAGGTTATACCAAACGCTCACATACCAAAAGGCAGTGTCATGAAGTCCCAATATTTTTAAGAATTCCTTCAACTTCCTCTCCTTTTCTGCCACAATATGAATTGCCAAATAATACCCAAAGGGTGAGAAAGCGATCACTAGGTAAATCAAAATGATCGCACGAGGAAAATTATCTATTTCTACCACTGCAGCCTCTCCCATGACCATCGCTCTCGTCAATTCAAGTTGTTCCCAAACTGACTGATTAGTCTTCAGCTAAAAGGAAAAGAAGGAAAAGTTATTTCTGCATCACTCCCGATTTTACAGCCCCAACCCACACAGCAGCAGCGACCCCGGCGCAGCCCCCATGAGCCAGCACCGTGCTCAGCCCATCCCCATCCCCGCTGACAGGGGGAGATCCGGACACCCCCAAGCCTCCCTCTCCCCAAATCCCAATCTGAAAGCACAAGAAATTGGAGAACATCCGAACACTTGGAGATAAAATTAAAAATTTTGCAACTCTTATCACCTAAAAAGACGAGACTTGCCCTCACCGCAAGTGGCATGATGGGAGAGAAATAGGGGAAAGGGCATTGCTGATAAATACTGACAATAAAATGGTAAGGCAAATCCCTTGGCCCCTTTTGGTGCAGCATCTTAAATAGTGTTTTGGGGTGAGCACTGTCAAGCCTTCGCATTTTCACGATTCAGGCTCATTTGGACACAAATTATTCGCATCGTTCAACCAGACAAGAAAGCTTCTGTACAAAATACGGCACACGCACATGAAATATTCTGCCTTGTCATTGGATCCAAGCTAATTTTTGAGATGGCATTTTACACAATTAATAGACATCACCCCAAAAGAAGTCAGAGCCAAGGCAGTCCACAGGTTTGAACCTCCTTGGTTTTATGAGGCTGTTTTTTTTTCTGACTTACCTGTATAATTGCAGCATCGATGCAAGCTTGCAAAGCTGTAAATCCCGAGCTCCAGTATGTCACGGATTCGCATCCTTTCCGCAGGTTGGAGCAACTGGCTGCCAGAGTAAAGCAGGGCATTTTAAAACGCAGAAAGCCAGAGCTACAGCTGTCCTACCCCCAACGTAAAGATGGTGCGGCTTGAGGCCATCCCTTATAAACGGTGGGAAGGACTTCCATAGACCAAAGCATGCAACATCAGGCCAAAAACAAATTTAAAAAATAATTTTAGAAAAAAAAATAAAGAAAAAAATTGAAAAAAACAAATTAAATTATTTTTTAAAATGAAAATTAAAAAAAAAATTTAAAAAATTTTTTTAAAATTTTAAATGTAAAAATTTTTTTTAAAAAATTAAAAAAAAAAGGGAATGATTTTTCAGTTCATCCCCTTACAGAATACATGCAAGACCGTGCACATTTACCTCTTGATTCCATATAAATGGAAGACATAGCGACCGAATCGGGAAACCTCAGCTGGTAGGACATGGCATCGTTGAACACTACCCCCACAAAGTTGGAGGGTTTAAAAGCACTAGCCTCTTGCAGCTCCTCTTCACTTAAATACTCCTCTGTGATGATGCCTGTGTGATACAAGAAATTATCGTGCTGATAGCGCAGCAGGAAGAACTGTGCAACACTTTTCAAGAAGCATCACGTTAATCATTAATGACTTATTTGGGTTTGGAGATGTACACAGATATACAGATATATAGATATATCTATATATACAGGGTTATATTTTTGTCCTAGTAAAGGAAGTATTCTGAACAGAAACCCGTAGCAGTGTTGCTCAGTAGCAGGTAGGTAATTCAGATTTACCCCCACGCCTTCCCCTTTTCCCCTCCTTTTTGTCGTTCCAACGGCTTCTGTGCCCCAACCCTCTGCTGGCTACCCAAGTTTATTCTCCAGCACCAGCACTTTTCAAGAAGGGCAGATCAACTCGTGCAGAGAGATCAATACATGAAAACATGGTATTTCGCCACTGACTTCAGCAGAGGATGGGAGGAAGATGGGCCACGACGGCAGAAAGTGTAACGCTTTGCTAAAAGCAGCTGAGGGCACCCGTAAGAAAAATGCAGATTTAGGGTTGTTTCTCCACGGTACCTTTGAAGCACGCATACAAGCAAGAAAAAAAATCAAGGATACCAAACTAAAAATACATCAGAGTGGTTTTGGAGAGATTAGTTTCTGCTAGATGTGTAAGCCGTGTAGGCAAAGCACTTTAAAAAAGGGAAAAAAAAAAAATCACTTTCAAAAGAAGAGGTGACAGAGTGTTAATGGGAATCAGCACTTAAAAGATTTAAAACATTGCTTTGATATTAACAACAGGATAGAAAACACAACCTAAAATACCTGCAGGACAGCATCATCTCCTGCATTTGCCCCAGGATGTCACAGGCCAAGTATTAATTAGCTCTAAAGCAGCTCAGGGGCTTTTTGTACTTAGAACTTAGGTCCTCCCAAAACCTTTCCTGCAGCCACATAACACTTGTTGGCTGCAACAGGAGAATGGGAACCACTTCGAGATGGCAGTGCCAGAACATTTGCCAACTGAGAAAAAAAAAAAACACAACAAAAAACCCACGCCTTTACAGTCTGTTCTCTATCTGCAATGGAAAAGAAAAGCTTTTTTTTTTTTTTTTTTTTTTTTTTTTTCTTTCTCGATCAGCAGCAACAACAGCGAGCTCCCTCTTCAAACACACGCCACGGCATGAGAAAAATAAAATGCCTAGGTTCCGAATACCATCTTCAAAGTTATCAGAAGACACTTTCTTCATGATTTCTCGTGCCATCCTGGTCGGTGGTGTGTATCCGATGACAAAATTCACCAGCATGGAGGTATCCAGCGTGCCCAGGTTGGTGTTGGCAGCCTCGCTGTACTTCCTGTGCGGGTGCATCATGCTCATCAGAATTAGCCAAAACAAGAAAAAGAGTGGGAAAAGGACCTCCTGTACAAAGAGCAAGCATGAGAACTTCAAAGAGCAGTCGCAGAAATAAAAATTTCCCAAAGTTTATCTTAGTTACACAAAGCTTAAAGGAGGGACCGTGAGTCTCGTTACTTGACTGTAAAGTTCCCTGCGTGTTTCCAATGCAAGAGTAATTTTAATGCCAAATCCTTCTCTGGCACTGAAGCAGGATTTTAATCGCATGCATCAGCAACCTAAGAAGCCATTTTAAGGTGCAAATGGATCATTCTACTTGCTTTAAATATCAGCAAACTTCGGCTGTTTGGAAAGCTGCAAAGCACAAACCATGAAGCATTAACCAAGTCCAGCCAAGCATCGCACTGTCTCGTCTTTACCCCAAAATTCATCTTAAAGCATCATACCCATCACCTACACACTGGGCCAAACTGTTCGAAAAGATAAAAATCTTTCAGAGAGGTCTAATCCCACCTCAGTGCTCAGTTACGGGGGCAAATCATTTTAAAAACGTGCACTGATTGCCGTATTAATTCAAGGGATATTTTCTGGAAGATGGCTTACACATCGGGACACATTTTCAACCAAAGAATCACAAAATACCTTCTGAAGAAGCCCATTTCAACCCAAAATTGAGAGCAGACCTTGAAGCTTCAGGAATATTGTAAGAAAACTGAGCATTGCCTCTGACTCAGGAGCCACTTAAACGCAGAACAACGGCAGATGGAAGCAGTGAACAAGCACCGCACTCACCTGAACACTGCTTTTCTTAGTCCTACACTTAATAAGACAGTTCTTGAATAAGAGAGCTCTGGTTTGTCTCCATACTCCTGCTCCTCTTGGAGTGGCTGGTGCCATTTTTCAAGACTAGTTTAAGAAAAAAAAAAACAAAACAACAAACCCACAAAATCAAATCCATATGAAACAACAATTGAAAAAGCAAAAGCCAGGCAGTTACAGCATTCGGTATCTCGTATTTTTATATTTTCACATAAATTATTCATTTTCAATTTTTTATATTTTTAATGCCTTCCAATATATACGCTGGATGCCAGCTACGTGAAGAAACTGTTAGTATTCATTTGCAATGAGAGAGCTGGGGAAAGCAGCTGGGAGAGGCCTCGGGATGCCTCTGAGTGAGCCTCCACCCCAAGGCAGGACCAGCTCTATGCAAGCTCACAAAACTCTGGGCTTATTTTCATTTTGCTACACATAAATTACAAACTAAAGTATTTCTCTCAAAGCACAATTCCACTGTCCATCACACGAGCTCAGGGCAGCCAGCCAGACCGACGTATCCAAAAACAAAAGCCATCCTACGCCAGGCAAACTGTTCAATTTACCGTAAGTAACATCTTTTAATTCTGGAGCAGATCCAACACTATTTATTTTCCTTTTCATTAGTTTTTACCTTTTCATTATGCCCGCTGCACAGCACAGTAGTGCTGAAGATAATCTTTTGGGGAAAAAAAAATAAAAATAAAAAATTGAAAATGCTCTTCCAGGAGACAGCATCCCGTTCCACTGAGACGTACCTGGTGAGGGATGGAAGGCTGGGGAACCACCAGGTTTTTATCCCCAGTTTTCCCACCACTTTGCTCTCTGAGGTTTGGAGTCACGGGTCAATCTACATCTCTCTCCATATCCTCACCTGTGAAGTTGAAATATAATTGTGAGCTGCTCGGCGGAGACAGCGGGAGCTCTGCATGCCAGCACCCTTCCAGCTCCCCGACTGCCCTGGCCGTCAGTCCCACCTGCTGCAACAACCTACATGCCACAGATTTCAGCCAAAACACAGCAGAGATTTCAAGAATTTATCCATATTCCAGATTTTACAGCTCCCATTCAAAAAGCGGACTGATGTTTTTGGGGACTGCGCATTCAGAGCTGCTCTGCAGCAGGGCCCCGGTCTCTCTGTTATCTGTTAGACAACACATGGCTCAAGCTTCCTTCCCCAGCTGTGTTTTAACATGGAAATCTATTTTTGGAGCGCAGACATCGTCTAACTAAAGAAACACAGGAGGCTGCTCAGATGTCAGCACCGCTGCTGCAAGCTGAGCTCGAAGAACTTCAAACACACAAAGTGCTCCCAGAGAGACGGCTCGATGCGAGCCTGCATTGCTCTGAGCGTAGGAAGGAGGAGAGGAGGGAGAAGGCATCTGCAAGCAGCTGAGCTCGCTGCTCCCGGCTCCTCTGGTGGGTGTCGGGGTCCTCCACGGGCAGTGACCCCCAGCAGGCACACGCAGCACGGGGACCTGTGCGGGACACGGCTGCACGTCACTGGAAGCAAAGCCTTGGGAAGAGATCCCACCTAGAGCCTGGAGTGCTTCTGATAAACTCTCATAGAATCTACTTCAAAAATGGAAAAAAAAAAAATAAAAATTCTTCCGATAAAAAAAAACCTCAACACCCAAACCACAAAACGCTTAAACATCAACCTACGCTAATAACTAATTCTTGCAAGAAAAATGCATATAACTCCATTGGATATTTTCCAGCAATGCTTCAAATGCTTCAAAATGTCAGCAGAGCGTTTTAAAAATAATCAAGAGCAGCAGCTATTGCTTACAGGTCATAAAAAATAACAACACGTTTTCCCTCGCTGCTCACAGCACGCCCTGTTAAGTGCCTGGACTTCCACGGTTTGCTTTCAGGAGCACTGAACTTACAAGAGGAGAAGCTCTACCGAGGTCCTTGCTCAACGCTGCACAACCGCATTAAGGCAGCAACCCCTTCCCTCTATTTTAATTAAATCTAAAAAAAAACTGGCAAAGCTGACTTAATCCGATTCAATCACTAACTCCAGTTACTGTTTCTTTAATTATTTTGTATCCAGTTATTAAAAAAAAAAACAAAAACCAACAACAAACCATTGATGCTTCCACATCTTTGCTGGAACACTTCTACGCTTTGCTGTACATCACCTAGGTTGGAGGAAAGGTCGTTTTAAAAACATGGATTAATTTTTTGGTATTACCCCTGCCATCTGCACGTAAGCTAATGAAGGTGCATCACATGCAACTAAAATGAATGAAGAATTAGCGAATGATGAAAATGGTGAAAAATTGTATCTGGGAAAAAAAAAACCAAACCAAACAAACAAAAAAACAACAAGCCCTCCTAGAAACTCCAGATGAGGAAAATGAACACGTAGGCTGAAAAGAAAAAGAAGCTGCCAAGACATTTATTTGAATAATACTGGAGAAAATGAAAACACTCTCAACCTGTAAACGTACCCCAAAATTTAGCTACTTCCTTATGATCTTCGACTGCCAGAAGGGACCGAAGCACAGCTACTTGTGGGCATCTCAATCAAATCAATCTCACGGAAATTACTGGGTTTGTGCGTTAATTCCACACAGGAGATGCCAGTGCTTCTTAGGGGGGGGGGAAATAATGATCAGATGATAGTTAAGAAATCCTAACTACCCTAAGCCAATGGTCTTTAAGGGGCAATTTATGCGATTTAATGCTCCATGTCACGTTCTCCTTGGGTTTTAAGCTAAAAAAACCAACCAACCAAAAACAAAAAAACACAAAACCAACCCCAAACCAGTAATTAAAAACAGGGTGGGAGGGGTTGAGCCTCAGCTAAAGGAGCTGTGGCTTGAGGAAAACCAATTTATCAGTGAACAATACCTGCAGAAAGATGGGAAAATCAGATTATGGATCCTGCTGCAAGGAGACAACAGCCGAAATGACACTTAAAGAGAAACTCCGAAGCGCTCTTCGCTGCTCTCAAATTACTTCAGCTAAACGCTTTATTTATGAATTTTTAAAAAGGGGCCGAATTTTCTCCCCTACCCGAAGCCGCAGGGACACAGCCCCGGCTCGGGGGATTTCAGGGTGGGATTACGGGAGCGGGACCCCCCCCTCGAGCACCCCCACAGCCAGGCCAGGCTGGTTCCAGCTCCCCCCCTCCCCGGGGACCCCCCGGTCGCTCACTGCAGGCGCAGGGAGGGGGGTGACACCCCTCCGGGTTTCCATCCTTATTTTCCTCCCTCCCTTCCCCCAACCCCCTTGAAATGTCAGTTCCTCACCCTTTTTGGCCCAGCTACAAAACCTCAACAAATACCGAAATAAACAGCCCCTAGCAGCCGCTCCAGAGTAACGACGCGCACCGCCAGGTACAGCAAAACTCCTCCTCTTCCTCTCCTTTTCTTCCCCTTCCCGTTCTACACACCTCGGGGGGGCCGTTTCCCCCTTGTCCAGCAGCCCCCCACCGATTCCCGCATCCCTCCGCCGCGGGACGAACCGAGACCCTCGCCCCTGT